TTAATGAAAAAATCTATTAATTCATCATTACTCTTAATGAGGCCTTAATGAGGATAAATTAGTATAATTGTCATTATTGACGAAAGCTACTTACGAATTATCAGAAATAGATAAAATCAAAATCTGTAATAGCCATCGAAATTTTATTTTGTTATATCTTAGCAATTAATCTCCATTTAATTCAGCTGAAAATCTTTATTTTTTAATTATCTTTCTTACATTATGTATTAATATCAAGATAATGTCGGCGAAGTATAACATTTTCTGAATATATTTATCGAAATTTGTTATCCGACAATTTGAAACTTTACATTTTTACCGAAGCTAAACTTCTAGATGCATTTTTCCGCGTTTTTGTCGCGATATTTTGTATATAAAATTTATTAGAATAAGTTATTTAGAAATTTCTGAGAAAATGTGAAACGTCGAAAACAAATTAGGCTTCGGCATTTTCTTAGAAGTCTAGGAAAAGTCCAATATAAACATGGGATATTTCAACATCTGGGTTGTAAAAACGCACAAAGAAGATAATAAATCAGAATTCTTTTCAACATCATGTTTCATTTAGCAAAGGAATGGTGGACGTTTCATTGATGAATGAACTGACAAAGTTCATTTCAAGAATCTAGGTATACAAGCTGCAGAACCTTCCTAGAAATGATGAAAAGGACAACGGACGACGATAAATATGACAAAAGAAAAATTGCCTGAAAACCTGGGAAAAAATATGGGATACCGTGAACAGTATGGTTAAAAGAAAATTTTGAAGAAACTAAAAACCTTAATGATATTTTTCTAGAAAGTTCGAAAAGATACACCCATTATAACACTCATTGTAAAAAAGACAAAGAAAATGATAAATAGCTTAGAAATTCTTGAAAACTTTCTATTTAACATTCTGTGGATATAGTAAAATCTACGACGAAATTTTTACGACCTTTTCGTAACGAATCGACGAAATTTTTACGACTCTTTCGTAACGAATCGGCATACTGACTTTGAAATACGCACGAGAAAAACTTTCATAGCGAATATACTTTTCCTGCATATTATGTATTATTTTAATATAAAAAGGAAAATTATAAAATTAATTAAGATATATATAAATATGAACATATTTCAGTAATATATGTATCAATATGAGATGCTTTTAATTTTACTGACATTTTCTTGTACATGCTGTAAATTTTTATATCATCAGATTAAGAAATATATCAAGCTATTCGTTTATCATTATCATATATAAATTTTGGCTTTAATATGAGTATATCTCAATCGCGTATTACAAATCTATGTGTTGCGTATGAACTATACCAGAGACGTGAGTATCGAAATGATTTTACCTGCGGTTTTATACCAATATTGTATGTATCTTTATTTTATAATACTTGTATTATAACAATTTCAGTATAATATTAATTTGAATGTCTAACACCGATATCATTTTGCCTAATGCTGATATAATATCGATATCTACGGGTTTCGATATGTTATCTGTATAGTATTGGTATTATGCCAATATCATTGTCATATTATAAATATCAAATTATGGGTACGTTATTATTGTAGATTCGGTATAGAATGAAGTAAGTAAACTTTAGATTAATTTCCAGAGTTGCATTACGTCCCGACCAGAAAGCTTTCGAATTTATGCATGTTATTATTTCCTCTTTATATTCCTTTGAAAAGTATATGTCATAATTATAATATGAATTTAATTGATTTGACAAAACGACAATATAAACGTCTAGGCAATCTGCTATTACACCGATTGTTAGATTATCTTGATATTGACGATGCATATAAGCTACGGCGTACCAAACTGTATGAGATTGAGATTTTACTTCCACTACTGCAATTCAATACAATCATTTCCTAACCATTGCACATAATAAAATGCAATTTATGCCATATATATTAAAGATGGTTTTGCGTTTTCTACTTTCTTGATCTTGTTTGTTAGAAAATAGCCGAAATATAAGCGATGTGTCAACTTATTTCTATAGCCAACTAACATTGGTCTCCCTTATGTTACGAAAGTTAAAATATGCAAAAATTTTGTAAAATAAATTAAAAT